TCTTCTAACATTTCACGCAATTTTTCTGTCTCTTCCGAGCTCAGAGGTGGAGGGCCTTTTTTCTGGGACTTTTGTGATTTTTTCGCCTCGGGACGTTTCGTCCGAGGTGGGAGGCGGCTAGGTACGTCTTTTTGGGGTTCCTCTCGGTTCCCATTTTTTTGCGTCCTCCGCTGATCCCATTTACGATAATCACGTTCGTCCTCTGAAGGAGGAGCCTTTTTGTCCCAGCGTGCACCTTCATGATGCGGTTTGTTAGTCTGAAAATACTGCCTTTTTTCTCCTTTTTTAGGAGGAGGTGGCGATGAACGCCTTCCTTCTAATTCTAGGGAGTGGGGTTTAACCTTTACACCAGGAAACACTTCTATGGGCGTCTTGGCATGACAACGTGCCTCAAACACATTCACAGCGCACTGTTTAATCTCACTGATGGATTTTTCTCTGTAATTTGCCATCATTTGCACTGACGTTTGTATGTCAGGGTGGAGATTTTTGCTGAAAACAAATTTAAAACCTTCTTCTTCCTCCATCCCGGTTTCATTTCTGTTACCAAAATAAGCTTGGAAGATTCTTTTGTAATAAACTTTTGGATGTTCAGCTTTACCCTGCGTGACCTTTTCTGCGGCTGGGTATCCAGCTGGTCCTGTGCAGGAGTCGTACTCTTTGATCAGAGCTTCACACAGAAGTTTGTAATCCCTTCTCGTTGCATCTGGTAGACGCTCGATGAAGGTAAACACCTCTCTGTCTGACGTGAGTCGTATCAGACTGATCTTATCTTCTACCGTAGCATTAGGATAAGATCTCAATCTGAAATCCAGATCTCTGAGGTACGCTTTTGTTCCAGATGAGCCCATCGGTCCAGGAACAAAGCGTTGTACATATTTTGAGATTTTTTGCAAGTCATCCATTGATGGAGAAGATATCAATGGTCTCACATGCGTGATCAGTTGTGGGGGTGTTACTCTGCCCGTTTGTGTAGGTGTTTGGATGGGTCTAAAAGCACCGGGTGAGTAAAGAGGTCGTTGAGTTTTTGGTGTATTACCCCGACTCTGTTCAGGGTCTGGTTTGGATTCCAGGTCACCTTGCCCAACTTCCTGACCTTTTTCTGTTGCTGCTATTAGTTTCGCCTCACATTTTTTTAAATGTTCCTGGGATGTATAATAGTCATCTTCTAAACGCATATTTAGCTGTTGCAATATGTGTTTATCCATTCTGAGTTCTTCCCGATCTTTGTTAAGCACATCTATTTTGCTATTCAGCGAATCAATTTCTGCATTTGCATTTTGCTGTGATTGAAACATCTGTTCAGAATGTTTTTTTGTGAGGACTTCGTGTTCACTTTTAAATTGAAGGAAGTGTTCTTCAATTTTCTGAACCACCTCTTTTTCACTGTTTAACCTTATTGCAAGGTAATCAGCTTTCTCAACAACCGTATAGAATGATTCTTTCAGCAAAATTGCGATTTTAGCCAGCTTTTCATAACTTGACTTTATGATTTCTGTAGAGGTCACACTTTCTGCAACCTCCTTCAGATTGTCCAATAACTCTTTTGGGTTCATGCGCTCTGTCTGATTCATATATGGATGTAAGGACGCTGTCAGAAGCGCTAATGCGTTCTCCAAGCAGTCCGCCATCCCTTTTGGATCAAAGTCTTTTTCTAACACACCTGTCATGTTTTTCACTGTGTAGCAATTTATCTGTTTAAAACAGTTGCAAGCTTCAGATATTTTACAGGTAAATATTTGTATTCAAGTCAATGAGTTTTCACACTATTTTAGCTTTTGGGTTTACACAGAAGTACTGTTATAAGTCAACTTATTCAAATGTGGGTACCTTTCTCAGGTTTTACCCCAATTCATGAATATTTAAGTAAATGTTCTCGGCAGTGTTACTTGTATGTGCTTATTTTTCAACAGATATCAGTTACCAAGCTCTTTTTAGTGTATTTTACTCTAAAGCACTGAATTTTTTATAAACCTGCACTTTTCTAAAAAGTCTCACAGCAAATCAGTTTAAAGCGTTTTTTAAACCGTTCTGTTCCAGAAATTTGCTATTTTAACAGTTACTCATAGAACTAAGTTGTGAAAAGAAAAAGAAAAGTTGATGATGTATCAGGATTAATCAGTCCTTCCTCAGAAAAACTGTTATTCCTGTTGTCCTCCTGTCAGTGACTTCTATTTAAAATTAAATAGGAAGATTTATTTTTTAGGTGGCAACTTAAACAGAAAAGTTTCTTTTTCCTGATAAGTTTACTCTTATTTAGTGATTTTGCAATTAAACGTGTATTATCTTTCAAGCAAAATGAGTAAACTTTTCAACTCTGTGAATATTTGAACCGTTTCTATTTTTTAAAAAGTTCCTAACTTTATTTTGTACCTTATAAGGGATTACCAGTGAATAAAGTCTCTTTGGTAAATGCTCTTTGCATAAATACCTTTATAACTTTTAAAATGCAAGATAACAGTGTTTATTCAGCTTTGAGGAAGTTTGTTAACTCAAAAATGCCTTACAGAAAAATAAAACGTTTAATTTCACTCTTTAAACCTAAAACTGATGTGAAAACCTGTGATCTTCACGTTTATCCAGAAGGTGTCAGTACAACCTTATTAATTTTAACTCAGACACTGTTTGTGTTGTCCAGTAGGGGAGCTGTCACTTCCTGTGGCGTCCGGTCGTTAGCTGTTAGCTAAAAATTAGCATCGGCTAGACTCGGTTAAAACCAACATTTCTGAACGGATTTTTTACACAAACGTGGCAAAATTTCAACAAGCACGACTTTATAGCATGAACATGAGTTTTGTGGAACAATATTGCAGCTTTATTTAGTGATTTTAAGCACGGCAAAGCTCATTTCCGACATGGGGGAAGTGACGTGACACGTCATTCATCCGGTCGTTAGCTGTTAGCTAAAAATTAGCATCGCTAGCGTTGTTCAAAAACATCATTTAATGACGGATTTTAAACTCTAACGTGGCAAAATTTCAGCGAGTATGCTTCGAAGAACTTAACCAGCGTATCAAAATACACTTTTAAAGCGCTTTTCAGCTTTAAAAAGCAGATTTTATTTCCCTATGAAAACGAATTTTCATTTCCGGGTCACGTGACTGAAATCACCAATGACAGAGCAGCGCAGGGGTGAGAGGAGATGACGTAGCCACGTCAGTCAACCTTTCAGCGAATCAGAGCGCTCCACAACAGCAATATTCAACCTATCACGAAACGTTAAAGCAACTAGCGTGAAATAATTTCGTCACTTTTTCGTCTTTTAAACTGTCAAAATGCACTTTTCTGTTAAAAAATGTAACGAATCAACTCTGAGCTTTGCGGAGTCGGCGCTCCGTGGCACAACGTCTTTAAAAACGGTTAAAAACAACTCGTTCGAACTTTTTTTTTTTTTTTTTTTTTTTTTTTCAGAACCGAGCCGGTCCAACAACCGGACCTCCGTCCGTTTGGACCACAGTTTAAACAGAAAACAGCGTTTCCACACAGCTCAAAACCTTTTTAGCTACGATAACAGGCGTACAAATTCAGCCTTCACAAGACATATGACATTATTTCAGCTTTCATAACATCGCCAGCGTAATACAGCGTAAACATGCAACGTTTTGACTTTCAAGCAGCTGATAAACTGTTACTTTTCATGCCAACACGTAAAAATCTTCACACGAAATACACAGTCATTTATGAGCACGTTACGGGCCACCAACTGTAGTATGTCATATAGGGATATATATTCATACTTTTCACGAGTTCCTCATCTTTCTGACTGTGTAAATGTCGTGCATTGAATTTTAACAGAAATGTAACGAGAGACGTTATTTATCTTTGACCCATCAAAATGAATGCGGTCATTTATTTTCAGAATCAAAGTTTAACATCAAACATTTACATTAATTTGGCAAAATATGAAAATAATAACAGACAAGTTTCACAGATAATAGACTTCAATCACACGGTGGTGATTGAGGATTTTGCTTCAGATATTTCTAAAATATCTGTACTGATTTTAAGAGAAAGCAGAGTTTAAGATGGAAATGGAGATTTATCTTGCAGAGAGATGTGTGAGGGAATTAATCTGTTTGACCAGAAACGTGCACGCTCCTTCAGATCTCAGCTTGCGACGGTACGCTTGATCGAAGTAGAATCGTTACCTGGTTGATGATAAATCAGCTCGGTATAGAATCCTTCAGACTCTTTCAGCGTCTCCGTTGAGAGCAGCTGAAATCCTTCGAGAGTCGTACGAGGTTGTTCAAACAGAAGTTATAATCCCAAAACGTCTCTGGATCATCCTGAACGCGTTTGCATCCAAGAACTCTAACTCCATCACTCATCAGCACTCTGTGTGGAACTCTCAGAGCTCTGCAGCATCAGACTCTTTTAGCTCCATTAATCTTCAGCGTCTGGCTTCAGACTTCAGACTCTGTGCACTCTCTAGTTGAACTCATTCCTGAGCGCAGCAACTGCAGCAACTGCAGCAACTCATGAACTGGGAAGTTGCCACATTTTAAATGGGTCGACTTCCGGGTCATTTGAGAGCTTTTTGATTCGTGGATGGACCAGGAATAGAGGTGTGGTTTGTGATGTAAGATGTTATCAACTTCGAGGTCAGAGAATGAGATTGTTCAACAACAGACAGAAAGATTATTGCAGAAAACCAGACTTTGTGGAGTCTCACTCTGCTGTATCTTCTCAAATAGTTAAACATGACATTTTTTCTCAGTAAACATTTTAGTTGACCGAGAACCGACCTTTAACATACTTACAAAACTTGCTCATTGCAGACAGAAAAATCAAGAAATGCATATTAACCTGATTTCTTCTTTGAATGAGGAATAAAAATCATTACTTACTGTTTATGTAAAATAAAAATGAGTAGTTCTCTTCAACCTGTAAGCATTGAGTGAGCTAACACAATTTGATTATCAAACATTTGTAAAATAGTAATGATCATAGAGAATTGTCTTTTCTGCTTGATTAATTCAAGAAAGAAAGTCACCAGATGGCTCAAACTGTATTTCTGGATGCAGATCAATGAAATAACAGTCTCTTGTTCATCTGATCAGATTTGAGGTCAGATCAGGTTCACTACACCAGTAAACTTTAGTTACGGAGATAAAACTTGGTGTGGTAGTCGCTGAGAGTCATCCCAACTCCGATTACAGAAGATCTTTGTTTAAAACTCACTCAGGCAGTCAAGAAGACGGGTGATCTGTCTCTTCAGGACAGGTTAGTTTATTAAAGAAAAGTTTTGACCAAACAAAGATCTGAGCTGGAATAAATCTTTAAAAATGAATCATCTCTGTGGTAAAGATGAACTGTTGGAGCATGTCGATTCCCTGAAGGTTTCCAGTGTGCATCATTTATTCAACAACATGTGTTCCTCCTTTTAATGAATGACTTTTAAAATATATTTTGTTTCATACAAGTATTTTCATTACATATTTTAAAACTTGCTAGAAAAATCTGATTTGTTTGAATGTAATTTAAAGCAGAAACGTTGATTTTTAAAATGTTCAGATGTTTAAAAACCATCAGCTTTTCAGCTTTTGCTCTTCAACTCTGGACATGGCAGAAGTCAGTGTTAAATCCTAATTTTTATGAATAAATTTGTCATTGCTTCAACTTTTCATGTAACTCGTCCCATTCACTTCACAGGGTGTAGCTTACATATTGATGATGAGCGTGTCGGAGAGGTTCGCGAGGGCCCACGCAGCTTTGGTCCGAACGTTCATAGATCGATCGTCGAGGGCAGCCAGGATAATGTTGGCAGTGTCTGCCACGAACATCACATCCTGTGAGGAGAAGTTCGACCAAACAGACATTATTTATTCACATTCTGCACACGTTCATCCCTTTGTTGTGTTGACTGCATGCTGATGATAGGACTTAAGGTCTCGACCTCTCTCAAACACGGGAACAGGATGTAGACGCCCAACGCTCGGACAGCTGACGTCTTCACCAGGTGGTTCTCAACGTAGGTCAGGCCCAGCAGCACAGTGATGCACATCAGTTGAGTTTTCTCCTTAAAAACATCACATGTCCGTCTCTGTGAAGCTCAGAGCTCACCGGGTGCCAACAGGAGCTGATAGAACAAGAGGAAACTCACAGGAAGCTGCACGAAGGCCTGCGGCAGGACCGAGGCCAGCGTGTCGCAGGCGCTCGCCTGCAGAGCGGGATCTTTGTCGTTCTGCAGCGCTCCGTTCAGCGGTCCGCTTAACACGTCTGACCAAAGCTGCACCACCTGAAAAAAACATCTGTGTGAAACTACAAGCCTCCAGGGAGGTCCGTTCATGCATTCAGGTCTTTGTAAGGGTTCTGTTTGGACTGAGAAGTTACATCCGCTTTCCCTCCAAAAACAATTTAATGGAATAATTCTGAATGTGGAACTGAATTAAATTTTTATTTAAACTCCTCTGACAGGGATGGACTTTACTGATACAAGTAAAGCCATAAAAATTCATAAAAATCAAATGGATATAAAAAACACATTACTGTATAACAATTTAGTATAAATTTAATGAACACATGAAGGTGAAGATGCTCATCTATCATCCAGGTCAGGGTAAATAAAAAAAAGGTTAAAAAACAAAACAACTGGACTTCTGTTCTGAAGCTGAAGATGTTTCTCTTCCCATCTGGGAGGTTTTATCAATTCTAAAATGTCTGGAGTGTGTGGAGTTCACAACTTTATAGAACTGCATGAGACGCCTGGTTGTGGACGTATGGCGCTTCACTAGTCTCAACTCTGATTGGCTCCACACCGCACCAGTTAAGGGCTTACCCACTGCTGGTACCCACCCCCACTCAGCCCAGTTTATGGGACCACCTTGTTTGTGGTTCCAAAAATGAACTGCTCCGAGGTGCCGATGTTGACGTAAGCAGGCAGCAGCCGTTGATTGGCCAGCGGAGCTACGTCACTGGATGACCCGCCCAGCAAAACTACAAACTACATCTGAACCTCCACTTCCTCTCTGATCGTGTTGACGGGCGACGCCACAAGAAATAAGCGCATTTACAGAGAGATATTGGAGGTGATGGCACAGCATGGCTACACCTGGACTTATAAGCAGATTCCAGGTCTGCTCCACTCCAACTCACACTCACTCAGGCAGGTGACCAAAACATCTCTCTGTGAGCCAGGCAGACAAAACCTAACGAGCCTCCATTGTGCTGGGCGAGTAGTTTCAGTCTAACCTGCAGCTGAACCCAAGTCCACAACCAGGCCTCGCATGCAGTTCTCTGAACTCCACCCACTCCAGACATTTTGAATTGATCAAGCCTCCTGGATGGGAGAAGAAACGTCTTCAGATTCGTAAAAGTCCAGTTTTTTTTTATTTTTAACTTTTTTTAATGATCAATTAAGAAATAAAAAACAGTGTTTATGACTGAAACAGACAAACGATTTGGAGTTGTTTATTTTTTTGTTTGTTTTATGTAACGCACCCTCAGATAACTTTTGTTGTGAATTAGTGCTATGAATAAATTGAGTTAAAATTAAAAGTCAGACAAGTTAAAACTCAGATGATTGATTCTGCCTTAATACTCACATATTATTATAATTTGTAATAATTTGCTCCACTGGGTTTGAATTAGTCACAAACAAAAAGTAATATATAATAACTTATAATAATCTATAATAACTTATGACAGAGAAAAGATTTCGAGATCATTTGTGTCTTTTAGGGAGATCAGCAGAAGTCCAGTTGCTCTGAATTTTAGGTCAATGTATTACACAATGTTTACCTTGTTTAGTCCTCCATGCCACAGTGGTGAGTAATGGTGACATTGATGTAAGTTTGCATACGTGCACCATGTGACTGACACTTCTGCTGAAGTCTGTGAGACTAATTTTGAATGATTTCCTTGAAACACACCTGGATGATGCAGTAAAAACAACACAGTGTTGAACTCACTTGGTTTATGGGGACCCTGGAGCTCTCAGGGCTGCTGCTCTCTGCTCTGTACTGCAGGATTATTCCTGTTCCAAACTCCACCAGGAGCTACAGCAAAAACAGACGCACGTTTTCTTGAGCATATATAAATGTAAGAGCAGCTGCAGGGTCCATTTCTCATACATAAGCAGTGAAGGGCCTGACCTTTGATCCATGGAGTTGTATGGAGGGGTCAGTCTCCTGGAGGCAGTGGGCGCTCACCTGTCCCACCTCACACAGACTGGACTGAGTCAGAGGGAAGTAGCCCCGCACCAGGTGGGCCAGGACCTGAGTGATGTGCTTGGATTAAAAATACTAAACAAAATATGCTACCACTTTAGAAATGACTGTTTTAATTTGTTCTTCCCTCCATGGCTCACCTGTAAAGCTGCTAGTCGAACAGGTGGGGGCTCTAGCGCAGCCCCCCCTGCTGTTCCCTCAGCATCAGGCTGGTCCTCTCTGGGCTGAGTGACCAGAGACACACAAAGCTTCAGCAGCCACGGTGGGGAGCCGCTCCCCTCTGTTGGTGTGCGAGGAACGTAGGGGGAGTGAGGCGATGCTGCAGGTACACGAGCGGGCGAGGCCACACCGTTTCTTTTTCTCCAGCTGAGAGCTGAGTCCTGCGGCGTGCAGGAGCCCGACGCTCCGCCGCTGTCCTCCGGCTGCTGGAGGAGAAGCTGCACCTCTGGGAGGGGGGCCTGAGTCGTCACCAGGGCACCGTACAGCGTGAGCACTGACACACGAACGGTCACGTCTAGAGAGAGAGCATGTGTCCAATCAGAACCAAACTCTTCGGACCGATTCTCTGAGAATGCGTGACGTTAAAGGATGACAACAGACAGACCTCTGTGGCGAACGTAAGAACGGATCTGCTTCCAGAGCTGGCTGAGCAGTCCGGGTCGGAGACGGTGGTAGGGAGCATTGGACACCAGGAACGCCAAACACTGAGGGACAAAAGTAAGCTGTGAGGCGGTGCGTGTTCTGTTAGCAAAATATCTCATGGACCATTGGACAGATTTTAATGAAACTTGCAGTAATCTCGTCAACCTTTAGGTTCAATCTAATTAAAGATGGCTGCCACAGCCAACTGACCTTAAAATCCCAAATTGGCTCTAACTCAGTCACTTCTACAGGCACTGACCTAAAGGCTGGTGTGGTAGTAGCTGAGACTGATCCCCAACACATAGTCTGAGCCCTAACAAACTGTGTGTTTAAAACTGAGAAAATTATTTGGAGCCAACTCTGTTGACAAACTAATACTTTACATAAAATACGCAACAAGGAAGCCTAGACCTTTCATTTTTAGCTGTAACTCGAAGGGTACGGTTCACTTCAAAGGGCTTCACACAAACAGAAGCAAACAAACAACAACATCCCACCTTTATGACCTGGGTGAGTGTTTGAGGCGAGGTCTCGGCCAGCAGAGCCAGGCTGAGTGCTCGGTGCAGCTCTCTGATGGCGGTGGCCAGAGTGAAGGAGAACGGGGTGTAGGACGTTCGGGGGGGTGCCGTGTCTTCAGCCGCAGCCAGAAAATTACGGGAGCCGTCGAGTATGGCCGACAACACCTGGAGCGCACACAGTCGCACCTGGAAACAGAGATAATAACCCAGATGCAACATATTGCGTAATGCATCAAATATACTGATGAGAAATATCTCCGGTGAGTCGAACCTTTGGCGAGGAGTCCTTCAATATAATCGTGAGGAGGGTTAGAGGGGGTGGACCTCCAGTATGGGAGTCAGGGATGAAGGAGGACCAGTATCCATACAGAGTCCTCCTCTCCACAACTTTTACCACTGCCAGCATGCAGTGCAGCGCTCCTTGACGCACACGGCCATGGAAAAGTCTGAAAGAGTAAAATAATGAAGTCTAAAGGCGTTACAGCGTGTAGATAAACTTTTAGAACACGGTAGAACATAAAAACATTTAAAAGGTCACGCATGTTTGGCTCCATACCTTAGTTTGCTCTGTGCATTTCCTTCTACATCAGAAAACTCAGAGTCTGAACTGTTGAACTTCCATGAAGGGTAGAGAAACGAGGAGGAAGATTTTAACGTCGTCTCCCCATTGTCTCTAAGTCCATCTCCTCCTCCTCTCTGCCATACAGGCACTGCCTCATCTTTCTCCTCCCTGTCATCCTCTCTACTCTCATCAGCCTTTGTCTTCTTACCTTTTCCCTTTGGTTTCCTCTTTTTTTTCTTAGGAGAAACACAAAGAAAGCCATCACAAAATGACACTTGATGACAGGGTGACCAGTACAGATGGATGCTCTTCTTACACCAGAAGCTTTTCCGGTAGCGTCAGCATCTTTCTGTGTTTCTAAAGATTTTTGTGGTTCAGCCGGCTTTTCTGCAGAGATGCCTTCATACTGAGGGAGGAGCGCTGGGTAAAGCACGGACGGCCACTCCACGCTCAAACCTGGAGCTCCTTGGAACATCAGCCTCTGTGGAACAGGAGCAAGATTTCAAATGGATGCTCAAAAATGTAAAAAAAATGTAACAACATTTAAAAAATATGGCCCAGTTTTCCACCTTAAGCGCAGCTAGTGCAGATCCAAGGTCCTCTCCTCCTCCAAACTTCCACTTCCCACCTGAGAGACAACACTGAAGACCCTTCAGTGCTGCTTGGATCACCTGCACAGAAAACAGCCAGGTGTGATTAAATATGCAGGTTTTCCCCTCTGAACCTTCAGAGCAACACACCAGGTATTCATACCATGCAGTAGAAGAGGTCGTCGGTGTCGGAAGGTTTAGTTGACTGCAGCGTTTTCAGAAACACTCTGAAGCAAACACTTCTGTACTGATCATCCAGTGGTGGCTGACCAGGGATCCTGCAGAAGAATAATCCAGGGAACAACAAGAAAACGGCTTTAAAACTAAAATACATAACAAATGTCACTTAATGTCAAAGCCCTGATAGTAGTTAAGATCAATACCATTATGCTTCCCAACCTCTGGTAACTGAATACAGTCCTCAACAAACAAGGAGACCACATGAGGGATTCATGGACATATTTTAGGAAAACAAGAGAGTATTGCTTGATTTCCAAACTGTTTTTTATTGGTTTTATTTTGTTTTTTAACAGAACTGTATCGAACCTTCTGTGAATCACTTCAGATTCAATTACTAAAAAACAAAGACCGAAAAAAAATTACAACCAGTTTTTGATGCTAAATTTAACTTGTGTTTACGCAGATAAATAAAATCCTTCCTGGGGCGGCTGTGGCTGAGTGGTTAGAGCAGTCGTCCTCCAATGCGAGAGTTGGGGGTTTGAATCCACCAGCAGTCACATGTCGAAGTGTCCCTGGGCAAGACACTGAACCCCTCATAGCCTCTGATGTGTGTCCCATCAGTGAAATGTGAATATAAAATATGAATGTGATCTAAAGCACTGATTAGTCTCATTAGAATGATTTGTTCAATTAGATTTGTATAGATCTAGTAGAGTGCTGTATGAATGGGTAAATGAGGCACAGATTGTAGTGTGAAGCACTTTGAGTATCTTGAAATAAGATAGAAAGGCGCTATATAAAAGTACAGTCCATTTACCATTTACTTCCATCACTCACTGGTTTTAATGTATAATAACTGCTTGTTTCTGTGTGTTCATTTCTCTGTCTGTTAGCAAAATACCTAATGAATAACCTGATGCATGCTCAATAATCCAGGTAGAAAAATCTAAAAAAGTTAAATCTGGTCCTCTGGACATTCAAAAAAAACAAAACAAAGCAAATCAACAAAAAAATGTAGAAACGTTTCGTCTCTCATCCAAGAGACTTCCTCAGTCTGAGGTGCTGTATTCAGCTCAGTCTCTTAAATAGCACCTTCTCAGAGTGGATCAACCAGTTTTGCTGCTGACAACCAAAACCAGCTGCTCACATGCTCAAGAAGGACCATCAGTCTAACAATGGATCAATAGCACACTGATGGCTGTTTACTATTCACAGAGGGCTGAGTGATACTAGCAATAACAGCATTGTAAGAGGGGGACAGTTGAACCCGGAGGCCTCCACCCCTGTTTAATGATGGACGGTTTCTTTTCACAACGATGGCCTCCTTTACTCCTCTCTCAAACCATCGTTCCTCTCTGTCCAGGATGTGAACATCTTCATCCCTGAAAGAGTGACCGCTGGCCTGGAGATGAGTGTAGACCGCAGAGTCCTGGCCTGATGATGTTGATCTTCTGTGCTGGGCCATCCTTTTGGCCAGTGGCTGTTTTGTTTCCCCGATGTAAGACTGATCACAGCCCTCCTGACACTGAACAGCATACACAACATTACTCTGTTTGTGCCGGGGGATGAACCAGTCTTTGCCGTAATGTATTTTGGGGTTTAAAAGCCACTGGGACGTTATGTTTAGAAAATAAACGTCCCAGTTTCTCTGATACTCCCTCAACATATGGAATGACCACTGGTCTGGGTCTGGGTTCCTCCTTTTCACCTGTTGGCTGACTGGAGTCCTGTTTGGGTTTCTTCTCTGCTTTCAGGAAGGCCCAGTTAGGATATCCACATTGCTCTAGA